AGAGTCTGCAGATTCTTCAGCTAATTTCATCAAGTATGATTACTGTAGTTCAGTGGTTCTTAACTAAGGGCAATTTTCCGCTCCTCACCCTTCCCACAAGAACTTTTAGCAGATCTGAAGACATTTTTGATTATCACAACTGAAGAGATACAGTTACCTACAACAAAGAATTGTTGTTAAGTGTCATTGAGTGGGTTCCTACCTGTGTAGGGTTTCTGAGGAGTGGCCGGTGATCTTGAACCATCAACCTTGTGGTTCAGATTGATCTTGCACTCCAGAGCATTAACCTGATGCACCACATCAGGACTCCAACAAGAATTATCTGGTCTAAAATTGATATTTGAGAAACTCTGCCCTAGGCATATTTCCACCCTGAATATGCATGAAGAACAAATTATGGGTATATTCAACATGCTTTTACATTTCTATAATCTTGTACTTTTCTGAAAATTTTTCATCATTTCTCTCCAGCACTCTCAGTTTTCTATGTCCACATAGTTACACTTACAGTGGTACTTTGTTATTGTGATCTCCTCCCTCTTCCTGGGATGATTAACTGGTCCCAGTTAGGCCCAATAGCAGTCCTTTGAATTAGGGATCTAGGTCAACATTCAAGACAGATTCTCCTTTGGAAAATCGTGCTAGTGACGTATTTATTTGTGCCAACTTTGGCTGTGTTGCATCCTTGAGATAAGTATACATGAGCTTATAACTTAGGTATCAGTAGGTTCAATAAAGACACTTTCCTAGAAATTGTTCCTGTTTCCATTGATCATGTTATGCATATAAATGGTTAAAGACTAGGTTTTAGTCAATAATAGATCCTAAGGTTGTATTGCTCAACATTCAAGTGGGGAACTAACTAAATTGAACCCATGGGAATAATGCATTTTAACTGGGTTTTCTCTGACATTGGCATTTTTTATGGTTTCAGCTTTATGACTAAGGCCTTGACAAAAATAAGGAAAAGGTTAGAATCTCAGATTTTCCACAAATACCCAAACTTAGGTACCAACAAATCAGACAATAGCATTTTCTAGCACAATCAATACAGTAGACGGATCAGAAAATAACCATATTAAATGATGCTTTTATTAATTCCTATCAACTCAATGTTGTTGCTGCGGTTAGTAGCATTGAGTCAGTTCTAACTTACAGAAACCCATTACAGGGTTTCTGAGGAGCTGTTGGGTGGGATTGAACCACTCACCTTCTAGTTAGCATCCAATGCATATCCTACAATGCCACACCAGGATTCTATCAACTCCATGTTGTTGTTGTTAGGTGCCAAGTCATAGCAACACTGTATAGGATTTCCAAGGATTAGCTGGTAGGTTTGAACTGCCGACCTTGTGGTTTTCCATCCAGTGCTTATCCTGTAGCACCACACCAGAAGTCTCATCAGCTCCATGGTGGTGGTGGTTATGTGCTGCAGTGCAGTAAATGAAAATTAAAATGTGACATTTAAGTCATTACAAGATAAAATTGAGAATGACAAAGCATTAGGCTAGTATTCCATGTTAAAATAATTGTTACAAAGCTCACATTTGAGGGTCATTATAGAAAAATATGACATTTTCTGATCCCCTAAATATATATTTACAGCCTCAGAAACCCTTTATAGGGTTGCTGTGAGTAGAAATTGAATAGATGGCAGTGAGTTTGGAGGGATTTTTTGGTTTTATTTTTTAAGGTAGTTCACCAATTGAACTGTTAATAAGCAATCTCCAAAGAAGACGAAATTGTACATGTAACTGTAATTACAAATACCCAAGTAATTTTTTTAACTTTTGTTATTCCTATTCTTATCATTTCAAGAGCAGAGATTTAGTTGTATGGTGTGACATGTAGGATTAGTGCTGGACTGTGAACCACGAAATTGGAAGTTCAGATCCACTAGCTGCTCCTCAAAAACTCTACACAGGATGGCAATGAGCTGGAACCACCAACTCAAAGGCACTTAACAACAACAACAACAAAGTAGGAATAATCAGTTACAATAATCTACTATACAAACTTGGCTGTTAGAATCCTAATAGAATTAATGGACTGAATCAATCCTGCCTAACATGTGAATTAGGCAAATCCGGTGCTTATATCCCCCTCTCCAGGGGAAGTGAATTTCTGAAGATGACATACTTGTTTAAACTCCTTACATGTGGACAGGGAATGAACAGAGTAGAGGGTTTGTTCATGCCGTATTTGCTGCCTGCTGGCTCCATAGGATAAGCACTGGATTTTGAAACACAAGTTTGGTGGTTCAAGCCCACTAACTGCTGAACCAGAGATGAGGATTCTTGCTCCTTCAAAGATTTAAAAGCCTCAGAAACCCTATGTGGGGGTCACTGAA